TGACGGCTGAACTCCGACGGGATAGTGTGAAAATTTCCAAGACATAATGCGATACGAATTAGACTTCAAACCTCAGTGTTTTTTATATGAAAATGTTTTACTGTGGAGTTCACACACCGCTATGGTATTATTTTCTACATAAAAGCCAATAATAAGATTTACAAACGCAAAAATTGTATGCGTCTCTGCCGGTAAATCACACCACTCCATTCGCGGACAATACTTTACTTTTGTATAATATTATGATTCGCATACCGATGTTCTAATTTTATTTCATACTAAAGATGGTTCATTTTTATCTAATAAAGTTCTCTGACACTATCATCTCGTATAGGCTCTGAACCCTCTTTTTCTATTGTAATATATATACATATATATATATATATTATAAATTTGAGATTACACGTAGAAATTAGAAAAGAAATATCAAACGTCCGTCTGTGTGACTTGAAATCTGTTTCAGATTTATTATTAATTTTCGCGAATTCATACTCGAAAGCATCTTCGAATCAACTACGTTTACGTCGTTTTTTTTTGTACTTTTAAACTACGCGGCGCTTGAATTTCTTGCATAACTTTCTTTAATGTTTATTTTAAAGCGGGAATATTAATTACTGGCACTTGCGTCTTGATTTACGAGCGGGTTCGCGTAGCGAGCACGTATTTTCGAGCGCGTAAGTCGGCGTTAACTGCGAAGAAATCCCGAAGCGAAAGTGAGAACGTGTCTTCACCGTCACACATATCCAGCCGTAGCGGCGTTCTGGTGCACAAACTCCTACTCGCGCTGTCAGTGAAAACCGTTGGTGCGACAGCCCGTGGAATGGAACGCGAGGGAAATGAGGAAAATCGGGCACCGATGAAAGTGAGAGGACGCCGGCTACAGGGTGTCTCAGACGGCTTATTCCGCAGTCGACCGCGAGAGAAAGGAGTTCACCTCTAATGGAGTGGCCGGTCCGGTTGGTCCCGCGCGATCGATGGAAAACGAAAAAGGCGCAGTGGCGGAGGTTGGCCGTTAGTAGGACTCCAAATTTCGGAATCTTGTCATTGTCCAAGCTTCGAAGATGTAATTGCGGAGGACAACTTCAGTGCGCCAAAGTGATTGATTTTCTGGAGAACAAAAGGGCATATATAACGGTGGAAAGAGTTGTCGATGATCGGTTCGAGTCTTGGGAGAGACTTTTTATTATTCGAGTTTTGAAAGATAGTCTATGAAAAATGCAGATAAAATAGTATACAAATAATCGATGAGAGACACGAAAGAAATGTATTACAATATGAATTTTTATATAAATCTTTACACGAAATAAATTACTGATTTGGCAGAACAGTTTCCCAGCGGGATCCTCGGAGCAGGTACTTTTGTTATATTTTTGCCGACGTAATTTTATAAAGAAATTTCTCACGTCCCACGAAGATTATTTTCTCGCTACGCCCATGACCTAGACACCAGACCTACTTACGGATTCTCTGAGATAGAATTGACACGCGCGTTCTACAACGCACGATGACGAACGGATTAAATCGGAGAGTAACTTTCACGTTTGCTCTCGCGCGCGCGATTCTTTTCTTTCTTTATTTTTCCTTAACGTGTGCTATACATTATTTGCCGGGCGCGACTACCCAAAGATTTCGTAAGGTGATTGTTTGAATGCGTTACGTCAACGGCGAACTAATTCCATATAATATTATACAATCCGGCCGGGGTCAGAGTCTGGTGTCGTAAAGTTCCAGATTTTATACGCCGTAAGTTGTTCCTAATGACGTTACTCGCATTACGTCCGAACGTGCGCGCCTTTTCGTCTAACTCTCGCGGCTATTATTTATTTGGTGTTACAAATAAATACGGGGAGAAAGGAAGGCGACTGGTTCTCTCGTAAACCTTTCTCTCGGCTGGCAGGAATTAAATAACTGCTGGACGCGGACCCCGAAAATCTGCATTTACGCTCACGGAACAAAGCGAGATTTCGGGGAAGGCACGTCGAATGATCCGCATGCAGCTATAACTAATGCAACGAACCGTCTGAATTAGGAATTTCGCCATATGCGAATTTTTCGGATCTTCTTCGGGACGTCAAAAATTTGCTAGTGAGTTTGCCTGTTTATGTAACGTCGATACCACTAAATGCATTAAGATACTTTAATTAGAACCAAGTTTAACAGCTCAAGAGAAGTTGGAATGTGAGTTGTATATGTATTGAACTTGATCCCTAATTACACACGCGCGCGCGTACATGTTTTTTATTATATTCTCATATGTGTATATATATATTACAATAATTTTATGTATCTATTATACTATTTCTATTTTGTGGTACTTACAGAGAGTTTGAACCAATATATTTACGAGCAATGAGTAAATTAATAAAGTAGATGTTTAATTAATCAGTCTTTAGTTAATCAATCAATAAAAAAATCAGTGAACAAAAGTCCGTGGAATACATTAATTAAAGAAAAAAACAGTATAAAGTACGAGGTAACGCTTTTTTCCCTTAATCCTAGGTTTAATGTAAATAAATATTTGTTAAAATTAATTTATTAAAACGCAAAAAGACAACACTCCATGTTGATGCGTCTTATGTGGGATAGACTAAGAGGAAACTAAAAACGAGAATCAAGGAACATATGAATAAGAAAAAAACTAGACGAACAAAAGCATTCAGTTATAACAAAACACATTTTAGATTTTAATCATAACTTCGACTGGGACAACACCAAAATTTTAGATATTGAACCATACTTAAACAAAAGACTCGTCAGCGAGATGATTCACATTAAGGAACAAAACAATGGTATAAACTCACATAACGACACTGAACTTTTAGATTCCTCTTATTTTGATATTCTCACTACCTTAAAAACAAAGCATTAAAGTCACCGACCCCCACATTGTATGTACACCAACCAGGAGAAGACTTGAATATCATGACTCAGTCGTTTTTAATATCTGACAAGAGTAACATCGTAGCGATGCAGACCTTCCTGCTAAAATCTCGTTTAGAAGATTAAATGTCCACCAAGCTAACAACGTATTCGCACTTACTAATGTGCAATACAACTCAATATATTGGACCTGACCAGGACTAGGAACGTCGCCTTTACATTTCAAGTAACTTCTAACAATTTACACGTGCGTTAAAGGATTTATAATCAATTTATTAACAATTGTGACATATTATTATAAGATACTTACACGTTGAAGAAGACTTAGTATAGTCGAAACGTCGTCCGTTATTAATTGTCAATTTTTATATTTAATTTTAACAAATATTTATTTACATTAAACCTAGGATTAAGGGAAAAAAGCGTTACCTCGTACTTTATACTGTTTCTTCTTTAATTAATGTATTCCACGGACTTTTGTTCACTGATTTTTATTAATTAAACATCTACTTTGTTAATTTACTCATTGCTCGTAAATACATTGGCCTTAATTTTCCTTTACTCATTTTTTAAAAAAAGACGAGCTTGTACTTATTCTTAGTTTAATCCTAGAGAATTTTAAACTATGCCAACCAGAGCTTGGTATCTTGACTGTTCTCATCAAAGATACTGATAGAAGATAAATGTTCAATCGATTCAGTGAAGAGATACGGATACAAGTTACATTTCTTGAATTTCTTTGTGGCGAGTATATCGTCACATCTAACGGCTATAACGCGCGAATAGACAAATCACATATACACATACATGCGAAACGTGACGAGAAAAACAAAGACAGCTGCGCGAAAACAGAGGTACTGGCGAGATTTAAACCCCGGTGACTTTGAGCCGAGGAAACGATCTAACGTTTTAGGGGACTCGACCGATAGACGTGCTCGCGTGCGGACGTGTAATCGAGAGCAAATTATAATTGTGAGACGCTTGAGGACGGAGAATAAATTATTCTTTCACCATATATTCTTTATTCTGACACGATAAATATAATTAATCCCGCACGCCAGTCGATCCTAAATCTTCAATTTTAGATGTAGATACAAGATGCACTGAATTATTTTTCCGGAGAGAGATACAGATATAGATAGTATTTGTATCTGCATTTGTATCTGTATCGGTATCTTTTTTAAAAAGATCTGATCTTCTTTGTGATGTCGTAAACTCTAGAAAGTTTTGTGATATAACGAAACATTTTACTTATCTTAAGGCCGAATCAGACTACCAATTGCCGACTCGGATTGGAATAGGATTGGCGATTGACGATTGTCCTCTAGCCAATGAGAGCAAAGTAGCCAGCGATTTGATTGACTCTCATTGACGAGAAGACAATCGTCAATCGCCAATCCCATCCACATCGGCAATTGCTGGTCTGATTTGGCCTTTATGACATTAAGATCCAATTATAATGATCATAATCCAAGCTCTGATGCCAACAGATACAAACCTACTTGTAAGAGGCTTATAGGTAATCCCAACGTAATCCCATCACTATGCAGGGTGTCTCAGGAGGAAAGGTCAATATTCTGGGAGGTGATAGTATTGGTCATTTTAAGCAAAAGTGTTCATATGAATATATGAACCATTCCCCGCTGTGTTTCCAAGATAGAGCTATTTGAATGTACATACAGTTGCAAAATTACTGACAAGAAAAAAATATTACGTACTATTTCTAATATTTATTGTTCAAGTGATTTTTTTCCAAAATACATATAATAAATTTTCAATAATTCCACCGTTAACAACAATGCATTTTTTAACTCGTGTGCGAACATGGCGTGTTGCTCGTTCGACATTTGTGAATATGCGAGACATTTTGAACATTTCTACAATGTTATCAGCGCAACAGTCAACAGACGTATAAGAGTAAATTTTCGCAGACGTTTATGAGATTGGATGAAGGGTGAAATGTACAGAAAAGAAGTATTATTATAAATACACGAGACATTCAAGTAGCTCTATCTCGGAAACAGTAGGGAATGGAACATATATTCATAAGAACATGTTTGCTTAAAATGACGGATACTATCACCTCCCAGAATATTGACCTTTCCCCCTGGGACACCCTGCATAATTGTATAATAATATACAACATAAAAATTTCGATGTATATACGTCAACATAATCCAATAACTCTAAAAATTCTTTTCTTTTCTTGCAGATTGATCAGTCGAACGTGAGCCTTTCAAGCGGCCAAAAGGTTCTTCCAACGAGGAAGAATCCCGGCTAAAGGGGCGCTTAGAGAGCGAAGGGAGACATCACCACGTTATCGCGCGTACGCAGAAAAAGTGAGAAGGAATAATGGCGGGCGAGGATACACAGATATTATCAAACGGCAACGTGGAGGCTCTCACGATCATCCCGCCGAAGATGACGAACGGAAACGGGCTGATCTGCGGCGACAAGCAGCACAACAACAACGGCTCGATTCCGAATGGGAAGTTACACGGCGGAATCGGCGGCACGGAGAACGGCAATCTGATCGTGCCGGATGAGAGGTCGAGCAGCCTTCACACGGAGTTCGACGACGCCGACGTATCCTGTGGATGGGGTCCTTGCAGGCCCCACTGGCTACAATACTTCGCCACGAAACAAGCCTTCCTAGTGACCTTCTGCCTCACCTGGGTTAGTACACTTAAAAAATGTATAACCTTCCGAGCAAAAAATGTATCAAAACGTGATTACAACCAGACAATTGAGGGTAGAAGTAAAAGAGTAGAAAGAAGTGAAGAGCTACATCAGTTTTGAAGAGACTTACTAAAGGATCGATTAATTTTTCCGTGAAAGTAAAGAGATCATGGATACACTTTCCTTGGATTTCTTTGACGAACGACTTTATTGAATGAAAGTAAATTGGGTGTTAAAATCACCTTCGTTTCTTCTCACCGCAGGTGCTTCAGGGTATGTACTACACGTACTTTGTCTCCGTCATCACGACAATAGAGAAGCTCTTCCAAATCCAGTCGAAGACGACGGGCATTATCATGTCGGCCACGGAGATCGGTCAGATCGGGTCCTCCTTGTTACTGACGTATTATGGCGGCCAAGGTCACCGGCCCAAGTGGATAGCCTGGGGCATGATCCTCTTCGCCGTGAGCTCGTTCACCTGCTCGATACCCCACTTTATCTTTGGCGAACAGCTGATCCTTCAGAACGAGATGCTGTTCAGCGGCGTCGGGCCCGGCGCCGAGGGCCACGGGCTCAACAGCTCGTACCCGGTACCGGCGAATCTCTGCAAGTTCCAGGAAAGAAACAACACGTTGGACGGGTGAGTGCCGCTGTCATAACTCTCTTTCGAGTCATCCTCTTCTATTTCTAAATTCTTAATGAGTGCGGCCTCCCAACGATTCATCATAATGAAGAGAGATATCTTCATTGGCTTTTACCCTCGTGATTAAATAATAGCCAACTCGGCAGTCGTGGATTGTCGAAAACACAGGGAATTAGAGTTTATTAGCCGCAGTTGTAGGACAAATGCAAGTGTTCAGAATTATCAACGATTGTTACGTTAGCAGGTGGGTTAATCAGTTAATTTCATAAAATTATTTAATTAATATCTAATTGGGTCATGGATTATTTCAATTCGGTTCAACAGTGTGGTTAGCGATGGTTTGTATTAATAAATTCAAATAACTTGTTCGTTTACTTATGGGAATCAATGTATAATATAAAAAGCGTTCATTGCGATTGAGGGAAATTTACGATCGTTTTGTTATCACAATGTCTCGCGGAAAAGCTGGGCGGCACGCAAACGATCAGCTATGTTAGCATTTCGAGCGAGATACAATAATCGTTTGCCGTGATAAATATACAATGTAAGGCCGAGCACTGCCGAAGTATGCAGTTTTGCCTCAAACTCGTATTATACAAGAACCGGTTCGTCGCATTTCTACAGGACGCGTTGCATCGGCGGCTCATAATCCGCGGGCAACTAATTGAAAAACGAATCCGCGCGCTTCGCGTTGTTACGGAGACCCTTTAGACGGACGAGTATTTTCGGGCGGAAGTAACCTCTCTATTTTTCGAGCAGCTACAGAAATAGAAATAGGACGAAAAGGGGGACCATATTAGGTCTGTGTTGAGAGCTGACAGATGGCCTGTGGCAGATGTTTATAGAAAAGTATGTGCTTAGTACAACGTGTAAAAATAGCTCGAGGAGAGATCTATCTAAAAAAATATTGTAAATTCATTCAAAAAGGTATTCTTTTGAAAATAGTGTTTCGACCAAAGAATGAAAGTTATACGCTGTAAAAAATCGGATACATTCAACCAGTCGTCTGTTAGAAAATGGACGAATCTAAATTTCTTTAGGATTTACCAGATGTGTAGTGAAGTCTAGCAAACTGCTGGTTATGGAATATCTTTTTTCATGGTAAATCCTAGAGGAATTCTGATTCGTCCATTTTCTAACAGACGACTAGTTGAATCTATCAGATTTTTTTGACTGTACGCGTATCTATTAATTTTACGCCATCAACGCACGTGTATTAGAAGATGAATTTCCTCGAGAGCAACAGAGACACAGAGAGAGAGAGAGAGAGAGAAGGAGAGAGGGAGATAGTTTGGCTGATAACATCGTTTTCCGACGGCAGTAATTGTAGTAACGCACTCCATTCTTCAGAAGGCGCGTCCACGTATGCCGTAATTCCGTTAATTGCTGTTACATAAGGAAAGCGTCCATCGGCCGGACGCAATGAGATTCCATGACGGACGTAACGCTCGAAACTGATCCACGCAATTTAACGTGGTAATAAAATAGAGCAATGTCGATTGCCGTTTTTTTTTCTGGGTGTCACGCGCGCATGTTGCAGCTGCACTTATCACTTATCGTGAAGAAAAGCGATTGCATATCCCTCGTGTAGGCGTTAGCTTCCTGATGAATTTCCGCAAATAGTTGATAGATAATTTTACTATGAAATAGAATGCGGCTATCGACGACAAATTTCGGTAGCGATAATTGTGACATATACGGTATAAGACAATTTAGTGTAGTTCGATTTTCTTTTTCAGAGCGAAGAACGTTATAAAGCCGCATTGTTCTAAAAATTTATCGCTTCTACAAATATACCAGCCGGCGAAATTTATGTATTGTTAATGTCGGATCTCGTAAACGCTAAATCTCGTAGCTTAAAATGTTATCATTTTATCTCATAATCGAGTTTAATTTTTCTTAAGTAATAAACTCATATCACTTTGACACTCGTTAAGTAAAATTCGCCTATACATGTGTATTCTATTCAAGAGAGACAATCAAATATAAATTTGCGTAAACTATCGGTATGTATCGAACTGGACGTAGAAAGTAATGCTTTATAATTAATTTTATTGCACTTTTGTTTTTTGAAGGTGGAACATGTCGACGATCGCGCCCCAGACCGATTCGACGGAATACTGCAAGGGCGATTTTCTTATGGAGCAGAGAATACAAAGCAAGATAACCACGGTGGTGCTTGCGATATTTTTCGTATCCTTACTCGGTGTAGGAATGGGTCAAACGGCGGTGTACACCCTCGGTATACCGTACATCGATGATAATGTAGCCAGCAGAGAGAGCCCCTTGTATTTCGGTAAATTCTTTCGCCAATTCGCAACCGCCCTTATTCATCCTTCTTATACAGTACCCTCCATAAGTTTCGAAACACTTAATAAAAATGTGTAATATGGGAATACATAATGAAATCTATGTATTTTACTTTGTGTTTATTTAACTAAAGAAAATTAAAATAGAGATTAAATAAAATTTTAGATTCCTCAAAGTAATCACCTAACCTTTTGTTTTAATGACTGCCTTGCATACTCGCGGCATGTGATAGATTAACTTTTGCAGAGATTCGGGATACGTTTCCATTCTTGCTGGAGAATCTCCCAGAGATGCACTTCACTCGTAATTGCAAATCCTCCTGTCTAATTCGTTATTAAAACATATCGTAATTTTATCGTTAGTGTTATCGTTATTTAAACGACTTATGATAAAATACAAAACGTGTGCACAGATCGCTGCTGTGCCACTATTTATCTGTAAAATATAGGGTATTTCCAAACTTATGGAGGGTACTGTGTGCTTCTCGTACCTTCTACCGTGACAGTTTGATACATTGTAATTTTGTAAAAATAATGTGGTTATTTATTTCAACTACTCGTGTATTTGTAACTATTAAATTTTAATTGTTGGAAGCAACCGTCTTTTAACGTATAAACGTTTACTTTTTTCCAATGTAGTATGATTTATTTTTCTCTTCTCGGCCTACGAATCGAATCGAAAACTTAATTATAGACTTGAAACATCACTTTATTATATGTAACAGCGATCACTATCGGAGTACGGATACTCGGTCCAGCATTAGGCTTCATTCTCGGTTCCTTGTGCACGATGGTCTACGCGGATTTGTCGAGAAACCCGCAAATTACACCATCGGATCCAAGATGGGTTGGTGCGTGGTGGCTTGGTAAGTTCAAACAAATTATAATACCAAAATTAGAAATAATGATTAGTCCAGTTTTAAGAAGTAGGAATAATGTAAGTGAAAATATTCCACTTGCAAAAGACTTTATTTTGAATTTTATAAGACAGACTCCCTCCACAATCAATTTACCGGAAAGTTAAATCTTCATAAGGTTAAATCTTGAATTATTCGATTACCTTATGTAGAAATAATGCAAATAGACTTGGTTTGTCAAAAGTCTTTTGAGCTCCATCGTTCAAATTGCGTATTTAAGGGGATCCTAAAGCCTCTGGCGAACTCGATCAGTGTCAATAAGATCGGAGACGGAATTAAAAACGTCCATTATCGACATTTTTTATTGCAAGTTCTACTCGGTCCGAGAAATTTATAGCCAATCAACTTGTAACTTTTACGAAAAAGCAGCAATTCTATTAGCTACACATTGCTCAGACCGAGATTTTGGATCGAATTCTAGCATCGTCAACACCGTGGCTTTACTGACAATCTGACAAATTTTTGGCAGCGACTTCTCTCGAAGAAACTTGCAATTATTTTTACACGCCATACTGCTCTTTTGCTTTTCTTTTACAATTAGACTTGGATTTCTGGACTTGCGTTTATTAGAAGTAATTTTGTTTTTAGGCTATTAATCTTATTGTTAGTTCTAATTGCACGATATTGTTCTTATATGTTGTCCTTAGAGTATGCTCGTCTCATTTATTTATTGTACAATTCTTATATCAAGTAAATATTGTCGTCAATTGTACCAAAAATCAGTAAAATTATAAATTTTTTTTTCGTTTTTGATATAAAGTCGACCAGCACAGTCTAGATTTTGCTGCTCACTTTAATTCCGTGAAAAAATTTTGCATTTCTATAAAGCCAATTAAAAGATTACTTCTAACAAAGATAAAACGTCGACAAAACAGACGGCATTAGGATCTCCTTAATGACAAATCTATTTGCGTCAGAGCGTACTTTAGTAGATGGATAGCAACTCATTTTTTCCGATCAATTTTGCACGCAAAAGGCGCGCGTTTAGCGACATAAAAGTGTGACAATCGATGGCAAAGAACAGTAAGCCAATAGCTTACTTAAAATTTCCGATAATATCGTGAATCTGGTGTTAATAAAAATGCTAAGCGTTTTACCAATTTTATACAAATATGTATATTTATTTTATATGTGTTATAATATACAATTATACACAGTAGGAAAGCATATCAATTATTCGGACACTGATTATTTAAATTTCATTACGTCGAAGATTTTCCTCCTGTGACTGCAACCTTAACGAAAATATCGCACATGCAATTCCTTTTATTTCTACTAATTTATAGTTATCAATTTATTGTACCATTTGAATTTATTTCTAAATTTTAGACCAGGGTACACGTAAATAAAATTAAAATGTTGGCGCGTTTCATGAAAACATCGGCAAAGACGTGAGAGACAACGAATCAGTATTCAAAATTCACGCGTAATAAATATCTGTATTGACTGTAATTGACTGTTTGTATGCGAACAACAAACACACGCGATGACAGTCGGAGCACTGATAATAACAAATCGTTCGAAAGGAAACACTAGTCGCGGCCAACGAAGCAGTACGAAATGTAACAGTGGCGGTAATAGTGCAAGGGTCTAACAGCATGGATCGCTCTAAAGCTGAAGAAAACCGAATAATGGACAAAGTGGCCGTTATATCATTATATCTTGTTCTTCAATTTGAGCGCAACCTACAGAACGCGGATTACTTGATTTCTAGGAGCACTAAACTGCCGTTAACAAAAATTAGAATTTTACTTCACAAATATACAATGCATAGGAAACTACAAGGCACACACACACACACAAACGAATAATGACTGTAGCTGACAAGAATTATACAGAAACATTTAAAGATTATGTGGAACGATTCTTTCGACGAGTAAACGTACAAGTACGTTTTAGGGATAGTCGTAATAATAATAATTCGCCAAAGAACTAACCGTTTGTTTTGTAAGTTAAAAAATTATATAATTATATAATACACAATTTGTACTTATTATATCTTATACGTGTGAGTTAATGTAAAATTATACTTGTAAATGACAGTATTATATGGCGGTTTATTTGTCTGGACAATTGGTGTGTTTTACTTGTGCCTCTGATTTTTGTAATCGCGAGGCGACTTAATTTATTTTTAAATTATGAGAACCTTTTTCTCTACTGACTTTTCACCTGGTGTTTCAGGTTTAGTCCTTATATCGGCGATGTTGATGATTGTCAGCATAGGAATGTTCGCGTTCCCGACCCGTTTGCCGGCGAGCCGCACTCCGCCACGACGATCAGATACGCAAAAACCAAGCCTGCGAGGTAAGTCCTGATTTATCCCACGGGAATGTCCCCGATCCCTTTCGTCAGGGCTAGTCGCAGCATTGGATCTCGCGCCGACTTAATCTGTTTTTACGGCCCGCCGTAAGCTGCTTTGCGGCAGTTGCCATCTCTCTTTTTCCCTTTTGTCTCGCGCGACATTTTCCGCGCGAATGATCCTGAGGACGACTCTTCGGGAGCCAGGGCCCGCTGTGATGCCAATTTATCCTCGTCGGCGTAATGCGCGCGTGTCACCGCGCCTTCTTTCCTTCGCTCTACGATTGCGATCCGCGCTTTCGCGGTATCCCGACGTCTGATTACAGCATCGCTGCGCGTGATAACGTTGCCCGCAGCCGTTGTGCGAATAAATTGCACAGAGATAAGCAGCTTCGCATTGGAAATTGATTAAACGTTGGAGTTTGTCCGAGCGACGTCTTACAAAATGTGTAGATACACGAAACTCCTCTATTGTCAGATAGATTCCTAACATGAGACATGTCAGGTTTTCAACACCCAAATTTGATCACAAATCATTTTTCCCGACGATTACACGATCTAACAATGAATTTTTCACCAAACAGATTTCACTCCAAGGTCAATAGATTCATAGTGGAAGCAATAGATGATGCCTATTAATTTAACAGAAGCCCCGCCATCTCTTATTAGGAGCCTATCTCATAATAGGCGGCTTTCCTCTGCCTGTAGAGCGAAGTATGTTGCATTCCCATCGCGCGTGAATGTCGTCCTTTCGCGTAATCGATCGTTGTGATTTTGCACTTGACCGAAAACACCAGAGCGTGTCCTTTACCGGTTATTTCGCATATTCATCGTACGTGGATCCGCGGGAAAGTAATTACGGGTACGAATGGCGCACGGGAACGCGGCGTACGAAAGCGAAAACCGTGGGAAAAACGGAGCACTCGCGTGATCGTTAATTTATATTTCCACGTAACGGCATTTTTGTTGCGCGTCGAGAGCGCCGCGACGAAAGGCAAAATTCTGCACGCCAGCCACTTGCCGCGGTGCCGCGGATCGAAGGCTAACGAGAATGCAAATAAAAGCCGGAGACAATGTGCTCTTCGTAAGTTAATCGGGAGCTCACGACGAGCGATTTCGCCTACGGCTTGGAATAATGCTTTCTCTTACACACATATTTACATTGCGCACCAAGGTAACGACATATCGGTGTGCCCTGAACGACGATTCTCGTCAATTTTCCTTTCGACGTGTCAGCATAATTTCTCGATTGAACGACCTTTGCTTTGTGACGAGTGGAGAGAACGGGGAAGAACCAAAATATTATTTTTAAAAGTCAAACGCAATTAATCACAATACGCCGCTTTTTCACGAAAACTGGCTCTTCGCAGCCCTGCCGGAAATAATTCTACAAAACTATAAAATATAAATATTTCGAAATAGTGTGTTACATATAATTAAAATACTTTTTAAACATAATCACAAATTAAAAATGTTTTAATGACGTAAAATAATAAATATCTATAGCTTCACGAACTCACACACATTGATAAAAACAAAGCTTCCTCCATGAGGAAGCAACAATGATGCTATAAAAACATAAGGCAATATTAGATGCCATTTGTTCAAACTCCCGTATTTGCTGTTTTTGCTTCTTTTCCATGTGGACTAAAAAATTTTAGATTTTAATCATTCTACCCTATTGTACACGAAATACAGACGAAAATGTCAATTACTCTGTAAGCCAGAACGATTTGAATTTGTTAGGCGATCTTAGGTGCCTTTACCCTACTTTTTTCGATCTCGTTAGCAAACTGTACATTAGCAAACTGTACACCGATTGTTTGTTGGTCTTATAACGTAGTCTTGCTTTAGACCTATTTTAATTTTTGTGTATTAAAAATGCCTTCTCTTTAAATTTACCGTGAAGAATTTATTGCAAAAGGTACCACCCTCAGCCTGAATTTAAAGCCGGGCTTGCCCTAATTTGTGAGGCTGAATTCATACAGAATTATCGTTAGAATTATTATTATTAGAATCAGTATTGGGCCACGAGGAATCAGCTGTGGCCAGAAATGCGATATTATAATTATTCGTATATGAATTTTTAAAATAATCCCTGTAATTAAATTCTCCTGTATTCTCTCTCGGCTCTGTTTCACTTATTTGCCATAAATTTGTTTATTTAAAAAAGCTGTAATTATCACAAAATACACAAACACACGGGCGATTTGTACAAGAGTATTTATGTGTAATAATATTTATTTTCAGATTATGTGACATATATTTGTAGAGCGATTGCACACTCCAGTCGAAGCTCACTAGAAAATGCACTGATTTTGTCAATCTATGTGAAAGCAGCCGTACAATTTAAAAACCCTCTCTTTAATGAGGAACAAAACGCCTCAATTCTTCAACGATAATCGAGACGCTACAGTATGAATCATTACGCTACATCCGCAGCTGCATCGATCTCTCCCGCGAGATCCCCGTATTCCGTCGCCGTCACGCGACGAAAGCCTGATATTGCATTTGTCGTATGACAAATTTTTCAAGCGTGTTGACTGGTTGCAGAATAGAAAATTTCTAGATGCTCGAGAACTTTACTACCCCGCAGCCAATCAACACACTTAAAAAATGTGTCATCCGACGAATGTAATATTAGGCTAATGCGTTTGTATGGCTCTAGCTATGCGCATAAGGGCCAGTTTCACTCGACTCCCCTAGCCTTTTCTATCTTACTATTTAAAAAGAGATGGAGAATCAGTTAACCTTCGGTTAGCAGTTAACCGATGTTTGTGAAACTGGCCCTAAAAGAATGAACGAATGCGATCTCTGAAGCGGGTAAGCCTCTAAAGGTGGTCCAAGGTCACTGGCAAATCTAGGTGCCGAGAGGAGAAAATTGGTATCGTCTCCGTTTATAATGTATGCGGCTCCAATCGGGAAAGTATGGCTCGCGTCGAGATTTACAGGTTTCGGCACGCCTGTGGGGAGAAAAAAGTCAGGCGCGCGCGCGCGCGCGATTAGACTCTCTCCATGGAGAATCGTCCTCTTCTTGAGCACCTCTCGCGAAATTCGGCGACCGAATAATCAGCCTCGTCTCTGATTAGATTTCTGCGCATTTGCCGGTGCTTCCAGTTGAACTTGTACCGAGCCTGAAGTGGCCCTTTGAAGACGCGGGGCTTCGTTTGCGATCCAACCACCTTGACCTGTTTAATCCTTTGATTTCTCTTAAGCTGCTGCAAGTGTATCAACGAAAGTTTAACAAGAAAATTGACTGGCAAGTTAGTGCGTGTCTATATTAAAGTCAATTACGTTATCGGTTGCAAATATTAATTAGTTATGAGGAAATTCGGTATTTATGCATAAAAGGGGCTTCCTCTCCGATTTGTTTTATTTTTAAATATGTTGTTGGGGATATCTTCCCGAGTCATTTCATATATATATAAGGGCCGGACTCAAATAGTTTCGGAGATACAGGCTGAGAAAGGATACAAATAATAAATATACAGGGTGAGGGAAAAGTACCGGACCGGTAAAATATCTCGAAAAATATGGGAGATACGGAAAAATGTTTCAGACGAAAGTTGTACGGTTTTAAAAGGGCTATATAATGGTAAAATTAATGTTCCAAAAAAATTAATTTTTTATGATTATATGCAGGTCGCCGCCATTTTTTTAAAATGGAACTCCTTATTGTTCATTATACTATTTTATTCTACTAATTAATATGAACAACTTTTGTCTGAAACATTTTTTGATTTGCCTAATACTTTTTGAGATATTCAAGAGAAAATTTATAACTTTTTCAATGTTTAGTTTATAATCTCTCGATAAGTGTTTGTCGGAGGGAAAAGTAGTATAGGACTTTTTTTGCTTGATTTAGTCTCAAGAATATGCTGTTGTAAAAGTGTTCCAATATTGCAACACATAAAATTTACATTCACAAAATTTTTCAATAATTGAAACACCATTGCAACAGCATATTCCTGAGACTAAATCAAGTAAAAAAGTCCTGTACTACTTTTCCCTCCGACAAACAGTTATCGAGAGATTATAAACTA